GATGTGAGTCTCCTCCAATCAGGAGTTAGATAGAAAAGTATACCCTCCTTAGCACCAGGAAGTAAAATTCCACGAATAAAAAGGGCAATCTATAAAAAAGAAATTTATTTATTTAAAATACCCTAAATTAATCATATACATTAACATTATGAACATACCAGAACAACATACGGAAAAAGAGCGGTGAAGTATACGACTTTGCCTGAGCTTTGCACGCCTTTGCTCAAACAAAGAAATACAATGAACCATGCCAGAAAGAGGCTAACTGCAATAGGTAGTCGAATTGATCCAGTTTCTTCGATTCCACTGCTGATCCCCAAAACATGATTGCTAGACGCAAAGAAATATGCTATCTTCTATTTTTTATTTAAAATTATTACTCTTCATAACATATATATATATATTGAAGAAAGTTATACATTCAATATATAATATTGCAAATTATATTTAAATTAAAATTATAATTTTTTTCATCAATAAAAAATTAAATTTTTTATTATTAAAACTTATTAAATTATTAAATTATTAAACTAACAAGTAATAATAGATTAAACAAAATGCAATTAAAAAACATCAATCTATGTTATTACTGAACGTATGTTATTACTGAAAATATTCCTCGGATGGCGGTTTTCTGATAGCGCCGGTTATATTTTCGATGATCAGACCCATTGCAGTCATTTGAGTTGAATTGAGGCATTTTCCTTTGAAGTAAGAAGCATTTTGAGAGACACAAGTCTCGGCAACGTCCGGCATAAAGCAATCCTCGGTGCTCCATTTCTTCTCGCATTTGCTCCAGGGTAACTCCCAATCACCTGCGCACAATTTGTTTATTTAAATAATTCTTTGAAAAAAACAGTAATTTCTATTTTTAGTATGCCTTTACTTGCAAACATGTTATTATTGTTATTTATAAACAGCTGTTCAAATTTATTACTTTTTTATCAATAAATCAGATGATGCACAGAATATTCTATATTAACATTATTATCCTGTATTAACATTATTATTTACCATTGACTGAAGCAAATATGTAATACAGCGTCCAGGCTATGATTAAATTATAATAGAGCATGACAATAGAACTAACGAGAACCATTCCATATCCTAAGCCACGAAACAAAGGACAAAACTGTTCGTAAACCGCCACTGGTCCGAG